TTTAAATGCTTGCCAGTTCCTCCCAATACATACATACATACATACCTACGTACATACATACATACATACATACATACATACACACACACATTGTGTTGGGTTATGTAGCTGTCTTAGTACATAGATGTAGAGATAAATAGATGTAGGCTGATACAAATACATATATATATTAAAGATGGGTAGATCGGAGATGGACAGGTAGATAGATAGACAGATAGATAGGTAGATAGATAGATAGATTTAGATAGATAGATAGATAGGTAGGTAGACGGATGGATGGATGGATAAATGGATGGATGGATGGATCGATCGACAGATCCATCGAGCGATAGACCGATGGATAGATAGAAAAGAAAGATGGGCACATGGAGAGTTATTTTCATGTATATGTGTTTGCAAATATGTATGACTAGGAGGAGCTGCTATACGCCATACAGAAACACGTCTAGGCGTTTGTGAGAACGCAGATGTGATATCTCGGTACCTTACCTTTTCGCAACAAATGGTTTTTGATACGGTATCATAGCCAGAATCAGACGATGGATGGTGGATGCTCACGAAAAGAAAGAGTAGATCCAAAGTGGGAAAAGCATAACAGCGTTGCCCATACATAAATACAACGGTCAGGCATGAGCAACAACTGGTCGTATGAGTATGACCGCAATGAAGATAGCTTAGACTCGGTGTAAAACCTAGTGGTGCTCTTGAATGCTGCATTTTCGGCCGAACTTATAGCCCAGACTCAGAGCTAAGATCTCTTACCTCCTCTCTGCGCCATGGCAAACCTGTCGCCAGATCCGCCGACGCTGAAGGCACCACTTGCGGCTAGCTGCCGTGATGTGGAGCTGGCCGGCGTGGAGGTACTTAGCAGCGGAATTCGTATATTTTACACTGGTTAGAATAATAGAGCCCCCGGACCAAGTAGGGGGTGGTACGTAGAGGATCAGGAGACTTTGTGTACATAGGGCCAGGACTATCAGCCGGGTAGCTATACTTATACCCTCTATTACGTTTTTACGCTGTTGATAATACAAAGACTACTAATGAAACGAGAACCTGGTCGTAGTAACGGTGTTAGTGTTGATGGTTTTGCTCGGCATTCGTGTTACCAAGCTTGATGTTGTTGTTGATCAAGGGTGGTGCCAGCAATCACATGAGCTAGTATCAACAGAGCCAGTAGCTTCACCCTACATCTCTTCCAAAACAGATTACGGGAAGTGCAACAGGTTAATTGGCTCAGCATAGTTATTGACACGAAGCGAAGCATTCCCTGATAGTCATGGTATAGGTATACTACGATAGAGTAGTCTCACAAGTCCAACATAGTATTCTGTCCAAATCCCAAGTTGGGATGGCTGCATTCTTGACTCTCTCTCTACCAAAGAGGTACTTTTCTAATTAGGGTCCCTTTTCGGGTCCCCAATATAGGTATGGCACCCTCATAAAACGGACGCTAAACGGGATCCGAATTTAGAGAGCTACCCCAAATCGTCCCCAGTTTTGTCGGTAACTCGGGACCCAAGAGCTTTCAGCAGTCGCAACGACCTGAATCTTGCGGCCGCCCCCTGAATCTCTATGAGTCTATAGCCTAACCATGCCTAACCCCTAAACCCTAAGCAACCCTAAACCCTCAACCCTAAGCCCCTAACCGACTCCCTAAAGCCCCGAAGGCATCGCCTTCAAGTAGCCAAGCGCAGTGTCATTCGGAACCCTCGCTTCCCGCTGACTGGAGGCGGCCGCTCGGCATGGTTTTGGGGCTTTCGGGCTTTAGGGTTTAGAGGTTTAGGGTTTACGCGTTTGGTTTCGGGTGCAGGGTGTAGGGTTTAAGTTTATGTAGGAGTTTAGGGGTTTAGGGTTGGGGTGTAGGGTTTTAGGGTGTAGGGTTTAGGGACTGGGGCTTTTATGGTATGTTTGTAGGGTGTCATCATAGGGTGAAATGAATTTTGTAGGATCGTGTGGGGGCCTTATTGGGATTTCAGAGGTATTTCACGGTTTCTCTTGGGGGTTGGGATGGGTTGAGTCTTTATTGTTCGGGTTTCGGGAGGGCGCTGTAGATCACAAGAAACCCTACACGTTATCCTGAAACCCTACACAAGACCGAAGTATTGACCCATGAAGGCGTGGCCCATAAGGAAGGAATTTCTGCAGGGGGAGTCGTAACGGCCTACAGGGCAAGCCAGAAATCCTAGCATGAGAGCCCGAGCCACCTTCCTTCTCATCCGGACATATCATACAACATACCCCCAGAATCGTCTTCTTGCTTGCTTTGTAGCCATGTCGGGGTTATTCTTCAACGGTTCCCTGAACCCCTAAACCCTAAACTGCAAGCCATTCTCAGACCCTACATCCCAAGGAAGAATATCCGGGCCAATATCGCTTTCCAGTTCATGATGTCCTTAGCCTGGGGAACTGCCATGGGACCAGTCTTCGACAAGCTCCACGGCTTGCAATGAGGAATGAGGGTTTAGGGTACCGTCTTGAGGTTTGACAGCTTTTTTCCAGGCGTTGGGGGGTAAATGCTTTTGGGTTTGCGGGTTTGTGTTTTGAGTTTCGCCAAGGTCTTCATCACTTTGCGTTTAAGACTTCTAGGGCTTTGAGCGTTTTGCAAAGTCTATCCTCGGTCCGGGGATGCCTGTGAATTCTAGAAGAAGCTGCGATTATAGTCGTGCAGCCGTAGGGTAGCACGTTCCTACAGAGTATAGTTGCAGTTTTGATGAACCGCAAAACCTGCCCCCTTGCCCATATTCTTACGCTCCGAGGGCTCTACATAGCTCAAATGAGGCCAGGGCATAGACTTGGGATTGTTGGATTGTATTTTGCGGTACACCCTGTCAGACTCTTATAAACTCCTCAGAGCATGCGGTTAGGGTTTAGGGTTTAGGGCGGCCGATGTATCGCTAGGCAGGATCAGTTCCCCAGCCTCTGCTGTACACGGAGGCCTGCCGTAGAGGTTTGCTGTTTTGGCCCTCGCCGACACGTGCGCCGACGACGCATTCACAAACAACTCATAAAGCCAATGCCCCGTCGTATCTGGATGTGGATACAACAAGGAACTGTGAATCCTGAATTCCAGTGGTCTCAGAGTTGGAGGTTTTGACCGAACAAAGACCCCAAAACTCAGGTATCTTTTCCTGCTCGGATCTGGCCTAGCCAAAGGACCACGCCTTATCCCGGCCAAGCCTCTCGCTTGGTCTTCGGTCTAGTAGACCGTTTTGGTATCCTAGGGCTCAGAGCTGGCTGTGTCGCTTTGTTATTTCAGCTTGAAGGTGTAGGGTCTTGTCTCGGCAAGCTGGCAAGTCGAGCTTGCACAAGATGGTGCGTGTCAAGCCCCTTAACCCCGATTGTCAAAACCCTAAAACCCTTAAAACCCCAAAGCCTTAAACCCTATGTAAACCCTAGGACCTTGAGCCCTCAAGCAGTAAACCCGAAATGCAAGGCTTGTGTGGCTACGTTGCTGTTCATGGCTTCTGTCGGGTTCATAGGCCTCGGTTAGAGGGCTTGCGATTTGGGGTTTGTTAATTAATACTGCAGAATCCGTACTGAAGGGTCCTTATAATCGGTGAGGATCCTATCAGTGCAGGGTCTACACGTACACTGCATCCCATTGTGTTTGGTAAGGTCTCGCTGGGTTCTTCTCCTCCTGTCATCCCTGCATTCCTTCTACTCCTCGCCCACTCCTCGTCCATTTCCTGCTGTTCCACTTTACATATTACTTCCTTACAAGATCGATCATGCCTCCTGGCTGTCATGGTCTGGATTGGCATGTGCGTAATCATGCTCATGGGCGAAATCGTGATCAGTATCGGGCTCAACATCAACACGATCACCAGAACTAATGGCAGCATGGTTTACCGGTTTGTGCCAGCATAGTTAACATGACTATCATCACAGTGGCGGTCGGTGGCCATCACAACTGTCGTCATGTCTAAAGTTCACAATTCATCATCCCCCTCTTCCTTCGCATCATCACCATTATCATCGTAATCATCATCAGCATCCTCCTCCCCCTCCTCCTCATCATCATCGTCATCATCGTCGTCGCCATCATCATCACCATCATCATCATCATCCTCATGATCATCATCATCATCAGCATCATCATCATCATCATCGTCATCATCATCATGATCTCTCTCCACCGTGTTCATCCCGCATCCCACACGGACAAATCACTTAACAGTATGCACTACTATTTGCTGCAGCACCCGCCAACAACTGCAAATTATGGACAGTGTCCCAGGCATGCCAATTCCCTTGTCGGAGTGGCCGAGAGCGTCTCTGGTCTCACTAGGCACATGAATCCAGGAGTTAGGATTGCGTTGGGGATGGGTGGATATTGCACTGTCTGTGATGAAGCACCCAGGGATGTTCGTGTAAACAGAGCCTGTAGCAACTGAAGGAGCCTTGACTAGACTATTTACATGTTGCACGAGTTGCAAACAAACGTCCCCATGCGAAGCCGTCATGCCACCTGTCAGCCTCGTCGTCGCCATCCCTGTCGGCTACATCGTCGATCGAAAGCCAAACAAGCATGCCCGGCTGGCTCGAATGTCGAGTTCCTTGGCAGTGATCTCCGTGCTCTCTGGATTTATCGCTGTCCTTACAGACGAACTTCTGATTCTCACGGTGATGCTGGTGAGCTTCGGTGCCTTCATGGAGCTAAGTTCCTCCGCGACAGATGCGATCTTTGCCGACAGTATTCCAGCTGGCGAGCGGTCTGCCTACTATGTCACCAAGTCGGTTCTCACCACCGTCGGTAGTGCATGCGGTCCGGGTATCTCCGCTCTGGGGCTTGCAATGCTGGGCGACAAGTGGCAGCCTTACCAGATTAAGATCCTCGGCTGCCTTGAAACCTCGCAGGCATCGGTTTTGTTCTATTGGATCTTGCAATTCGGGGCTTGTATTTCTCTTCCGGGCCCAGTTTCTTGTTGTTCCGAACCGTGAGGATCGTGATCGTGGGGGGCTTGTTGCTCTTTATCCCCACCTTGCTCCCCCTTTTC